ACTTATAATAAACGAATGCATCAATATCGATTGTATATCTATTTAATAAAATTACAAAAAACAAAAATAAAACAGAGCAACACATAAATCATACAATACACTTAGTTATTTGTAAATGTATAGGTGGGAATTGAATTATTTGGGTAGAGAGTGTGCTACTTTTGGGGAGCAAATATGGATGGGTCCCTAATTTCGCCACCAAATTAAAAATATTAGTGGGATCCAAGAAAATTATTTCTTCTCCTCCATTCTCACTCCTTTCTTTCTGCACTTGTTCTCATTTCCACCATATAATTTTGATCAACCAAAACTCAAAAAGAAAAGAAAAAAATAGTTTTTGCACAGCAAAAGAATATAAAATAAAATTATTTGATTAATAATACAAACACAAACAACACTCCAACCGCAGATATTTAGTATCCTTTTTCTCACTCTCTCTCTGTCTTTCTCTTTCACCAGATTAGAAAATTTATTAGCTTTCACTTTCTAATTATAATCTCTTTCTCTTTCTCTTTCTCTTTCTCTATGCAAAGTTGCTGGCAGTCTTACTTGTATCATCATCTTTCAGTTTACACACTGATTGTGTAATAGGGCATCAATGAATGAATGAATGAAACTCTTCATTACTTTTCATTTTGAGTCTTCCGTCACACCTCCACCATTGCTGATCGGTGAGTTTTTACCAAAGATTGTATTTTTATTCTTTTTTTTTTTATATCTGGGTTTTGCTTATTCTGTCAATTTGCTATCTGGGTTTTGCTTGCTCTGTTCATTTATTGTGTTTTGGCTTTCTGGGTTTGGTCTCTTTCGACTGTTTTTAAGTTCCCATTTCAAGTTGTTAGCTTCTTATTATTTTGAAGCACTTTTCAACATTCTAGATTGAGTATGTATGTACTTGGTTTGCTTTATTTTCTTTGCTCTATCTTTTCGGCTTCTCAGCTGTTCCATCTGTCTTTTACAAACAGCACAGTGAAGCTGCTATTGTTCTTCTGTCTTTGCCATGCTTTTTTGTCTTAAAGTTTTTCATTTACTTCATTTCTTTTATTCTTTCACTTCTCTGGAGAAACAACTTGCTTCTTTGCTGTTCGAGTTTTGAGCCTAGTAGATATGTCTTTTTTTAGGCTTTTTGAATTAGATAGTATTTGTTTTACTGGTATTTTATGGACATGCTTCTCTGACACTTTGTATGTTATCTTATTAGTTTTTATTTAATCATTGTTCTGTAATCATGATTCTTCCTTGTCTGATGTGTGGCTTTTATCTAGTTTTGATTGTGTAATCAAGTGTTCATTTCTATGTTATTGGCTTGTGGTTTTCATCTTCAATCTATTGCTCATTTTTCTATTAAAAAACTTTGGAGTTGCTTCCAAGGTTTTCTTGGTCCCACTAATGATGCTTATGATGTATGAAAGTAATAATATGTTGATGTTCTGGTTTGTATTACAGAATTGGAAATTTTTATTAAGTTGAAATTTTAATAGCAATTAAATTAATAACATGTAGGAGGGCTGAGAGATGGACAAGGCCAGATTGGATTTAAGATTTCAGCACTCAGGATCATCCCAATCTGATGAATCTGTTTTAGATTTGGAAAGAAACTACTGCAATATTCCTAATCTGCCTTCATCGAGTCCATCACCGCTTCAACCTTTTGCATCATCTGGTCAGCATTCTGAGAGCAATGCAGCCTACTTCTCCTGGCCTACATTAAGTCGATTACACGATTCAGCAGAAGATAGGGTTAATTATTTTGGAAACCTCCAAAAAGGAGTTCTCCCTGAAATTCATGGACGGTTGCCAACAGGGCAGCAAGCTACCACATTGCTTGAACTGATGACTATTAGAGCGTTCCATAGCAAAATCTTACGTCGGTTTAGTCTTGGGACGGCAGTTGGGTTTCGCATTCGAAGGGGTGTTTTGACGGATATACCAGCTATTCTTGTCTTTGTTGCTCGGAAAGTTCACAGGCAATGGCTTAGCCCTGTCCAGTGTCTACCAGCTGCTCTTGAGGTGAGAAACGAACAAACTTAGATGTTGATATTTCAAACTTATTCTCTAATAGTATTTCTTTGTGGCTGACCTTGTTTTGTGTGTGATGTTAAAATGCGTTTTTATCATTTGAAGCAGGGCCCAGGAGGTGTATGGTGTGATGTAGATGTTGTGGAATTCTCTTATTATGGTGCGCCTGCTCCTACTCCTAAGGAAGAACTATATACTGAGCTTGTAGATGGCTTGAGGGGAAGTGACCCATGTATTGGTTCCGGTTCTCAGGTATCTTTCTTCTCCTAGCAATATTCATATGTTACATACTGGCAGAATGATAGGGGATGATCTGCAACTTTGTAAAAAGACATTTTATCTGTTTTCTGATTGCAAGTTAATTAAAGCATAGGCCAGGTTTGTAAATGCTGAATTTGGGATGTACCATTTGAGAATTCGATATTGATAATTCTAATAGTAAGAATGTTCTCTTGCAAATGAATTTCTAGTTTAACGTGCTTTGAGTTTGGTAATTAATAAGTGTTGTTACAGAGATAGTTCCAAAATTTATCCATTTATTTATTTAATCTTTTGGGTTTATGGAGGTAAATATAATTGAAAAAGCAACTGTAATCTACTAGAAGCCAACAATCTGCTTCAAGATTTTTATCTTTCTGGAAATCTTGTGACTTTGTTGCTGACAATGCATGATTTTGAAGACAGTCAATATGTTATTTCAGGGCTTTTGCACTCCATGTTTTGCATTCCATTTCTTGATAAACAAAAAGATGGTTAACCGGGAGATCTGTTGACGAGAAGTATTAAAATATCATCCTTTATTAGAACGTACATACAGCTTAAGAAAGAGTAAACCTTTTAAAAGGGTGTAAACCTTTTAAAAGGGCTGTATATTAACTATGTCTTGAATGTCAAAATTTATGTTCATAATTTCCTGTTGTTGAAGCCTTGAGGGCATGAATATAGATCCTTGAAATGGGAATCACTGCTTTTAAATTTACCATCAGTAATTGAAATTTATTCTTATAAACCATAATTCAACATTTTTCTGGTGGTGGGAAAGCAAAAGGCATCCAGGCTTAAATAAAGACATATCTTTGAATATTTGGAATAACTCGATGTTATTCACAAAATGTTTTATATGATTGATTTATTCCCAGTAAAACTGGTCGTTCAGGATTAACTAATACCATGTTTAATACGGACATATTAGTAATACTGCACTGTTTGTCATGTTGCTTGGAATTTCTCTTCTGGAACATCATGTTTATGGATAGAATATGATTTGCCTGAGTTTGTTTGTTCAATGCGAAATGGCATCCAGATTTGGGCATTGTTTAGTGTAAAGTCAGGATTCTAATTGTTTACTATGGTAGTTGGGACAACACAAGCTTTACCTATTTGTTTAATGGAAGACCTTTTTTTATGTACTTATTCCCAAACTGGTGCATTTTTTGTAAGAATTAATTGAAAGTGCTGAACATCTTCTTCTGCACTCCCGTTTGCTTGCTAATTGTATAATAATCTGGATATCTCCTGGAAGTACCCTCTTCTAGTTGCATGGCTCTAGTGGAAAGGCATGCAGCAGTGAGAGGCAACTGGAGGTCTTGTGTATTGTGGGGCTGTGCTGTTATGACATCCACACTATCATGCTATAAGCACTACTGAAAAGCCACTCTGCCATAAGATTGCTGAAACTTTGGATCTTGTTATGAAAAGTATTTGTTGTTCATGTGTTGTTTGGACATATGCCTTCTTTGGATTTTATTCATAGATTTCCATTTCTCTGATTTGCTTCTCTTAGTATGAAAGCATTAAAATTATCCTCTGGTGAATCTTATTCTATAGGTGGTTACCAGCATATTTTATGGATTTGTGTTAAAGTATCACACCATTATTTGAAGTTGTGGTTGGGTTTTATGGTAGTTAGTTTGTGAAAATTTTCCGGTGATATTGTGGTCATAATTTAACCTTACATCAAATCTTTTCTGAAGAAGTAAAAGTTATATTAGATTATGACAGCAATCATGTCTACATTACTACTTTTTTCATTTGAATTTGTTTCCCAACTTTGAAGCTGACAAGATATGGACCATCACTTAAGACTTTGAGGAAATTTTGTATCCGACTCTTTTCTATTATACAGAAGCAGCATAAATTAATGTTATCTGGAGATACCCAATAAAATTGAGAATTATGTAAACTGAAAAGAGTATACGCGCATCTAACATGCGCTCCGATCCTTGCTCATTGTCGTAGTAGCTTTTGTTAATGGTGGAAATCACCTTCTTTTTGCTTAGCTATGAAATCCCTTTATCCAATTTGGATCTGTTAGAGCTGTTCTGAGAGAATTAGCTAATTATTGTGATAGCTGTATTGTTTTCATAACTGTCAAAGCCATGCGCCCATACTGGATTCAGGATTGTAACCTCATATTTTATCGTTGAGGACCTGTCCAGATCTATGTGGGACGGCCTGTAAGAAGTATTACATCAAGTTTTAGTAGCGCAAATTGAAATCTTAAGAAACAGAAAGAGATTGTTCTGATAACCCAATGTTTGCAGTGTTGGTTTCTTAATAATATTAATTGCGTATTGGTTTGCCTGAACCCTTTTTGCCATTGCTTGTGAGCTCAATGGAGACTTGTGTATGTTTCTAAGTTCTAACTTCCATCTACCAATGCTCAGTATGGAAGTGGGACCACTTCAGAGTGGAAGTTTGCTAAGGAATGTTATAATCCTAAATATCTGGCAATGTATGTCTTGAGTCATTCATTTGATATTATATAGTTTATGTGTTCTTCAAGTATTAGATGTGATTGCTTTTGTCATACTAACATCAGCCATTAGTGTACAAAATTTAGACGAAAATAAAATTTCTTTCACTCTCCTTCAAAAGCTATGGTTATAGTTTCATGAGGGAATACAATTCTATCAATTATTTAGTAACTTCCAAAGTAAAGCATTCTTGATACGTATTTGAATTTGTAAAACTTGAAACTACTTTACATTGCATTTCCTGATTTACACAATTCAGGATTTTAGTCTTTCTTCATATGGTTAGAATCTTTCTGGTCATTTATGAAAATGTTGTCGAAGGACCTTGTTGCTTAAGAGGTTAATATCTTCATTGTCATATAAGTTTTAATGTGATACAGGTGCCGTTGACTATGTACAAGATTTTGTAATGGTTGATGAATTACTTTTCAAGTATCAAACTAACTTTTTCTGCCTGAAAATTCTATTTTATTTTAACATAAGTGGGGAAATGTCTGTACATGTCAGTGTTTGCCAGGTAAAGAACAATGCAAATTTAATGGCTTCAACCAGAGTCTCTACCTCCAAACATTTGGCAGTTAGAACTTAGATCCTGGGCTTGGATACTCACTTGCTATGCTTACGAGTACTGTGTAATGAACCCACCATTGCCAGCACTTCGGAATCATACGTATTTCTCTTTAGGAGGCGAACTGCTGTTACTTTACATTTTTGAAGCTGTCTCTGTTGTATAATATTTCCTGGTAACAAGTCTGTTCAGAGAAGGTTCAGATCTAATTGTTGATGGCGGTATCCATGGCATGTTTATTTTTGTTAGCTTGCAATCCTCTGTTGCATAAACTTTGTAGGGCTAGTTTCCTTGTCACTGTGTTTGCTGTTAAAGATGTCTTATTAGCCTTATACCAAAAAAGGTCAAAAAAATAGCTACAGTAGGGTAAATATGCAATTCCCAGTTTTGGATATTTTACCAGTATATAGTTTTGTGTTTTTTTGCCTTGTTTTTCTATTTTATCATTAATTTTTTGTTTAGGTATGGGCAGGTGTACTTTTTTCTGGAAATTTCTTCTCATGCTTTTCTTTTTTCTTTGTACTCTTTTATGGCCTAAACATAGTTTTATAAATGAGGTTTATTTATCCTATTTGGATATTAGTTTCTCCAATTTTTTTTTTTTTTTCTCTTGGAATCACACTGCTTCTCCCTTTTCTAGGTTGCTAGCCAAGAAACATATGGAACCTTGGGTGCTATTGTTAG